ATTCCGATATTTTAATATTAGAAGTTGTCAGCAAAATATCTTTTTAAAAATTACATGAAAATCAAATACATAACTAATTCAGTTTTCGTTTTTTTTTGGCTCAAATCATTTCTTATTAATTAAATTTTCATTGTCTTAATCAATCAATCAATCAATCAATCAGTTTCATTGAATGATAATATTTCCAGCTAAATAAATTGAAACTAATTATAAAAAATTGAATTATTACTAATTATTAAAAATTTAATGATGAATAATTATTACTAATTATTAAAAAAATTTAATGATGAATTTTCAAAATTTAACGATGAATTTTCAATTTTCATAGTGATTTTATTGACGAAGAAAAAAATTACTTATAATAATTACTTATACTTCTTATATCTATTAATTATTTGTACTAAAATTAATTCATTTATTTCTATATTTATCGATTTATTTGCCGGTGTGCAATAAGTAATTTACCTAAATAAACAAACAAACAAATTGGAAGCAAATATTATTAAATGAACTTTTTCCAGTGAACCTTCTTATCAGCACTTATGCTAATTAAGCATAGAAGTTTTAAAGGTTATTTTTTTAATTTTTACAATAACTGTTAATGTGAAATAAGTGAACCTAATTTAACCTCAAACATAATATATTAAACAGTTTTCATTTTTTAAATTTTCAAGTTTTCAAGTTTTTGAATTTTAAAATTTTCAACAAAAAGAATGGATTAATCTGTTCGTTTGAAACTATATCATTTAGCTTCTGAAATGCAATTGTAAATGCTACTTTAAATGAAATGTGATAAATTAAAGAAAACAATGAATTATACGATATTAATTTACTTATCTCACGTGTCTAACGCTTAGCAAGCTAAAACCTGTTTTAAGAATAAGTGATCAATTTGGGTGAAACAAGTACGCAGAAGTGAGACATCTTCAAAAGATCATATAATTGTCACTTTACATTTCAATCAATGATATTTGATTTTCCATTTCATATTCAATTTCATATTTTAATTATAATAATTTCATGTTTTACTATAAATAATCGTTTTGAGAAATCATTTAATGATAAGATGAAACTTCATTATTAACCATATTTTTATTTTAAGTATTTCATTTCTTATATTCAATTATTTTCATTTTAAATTTTGATATATTATAATTTTAATTTCACTCTAAAAAAAGATTCCTTTTTCAATTTCAACTATTATTTGTATTTTTCTGCTAGTTTATTTCTTTGTCTTACAATTTTGGAGACTTTATTATTATTTTAATTACCATATGATATAAGTAATTAAATATTTAATCAAATACTCTTTGATTTTTTTAAAAAATTTTTTCCTATTAGCCCAATAAAAAATGAAATAGAAAAGCTAAATTATTTTATATTTTAATTGCAAATAATAAATGATATAGTAATGAATTATTCATGCAATAAAGATATTTGTCTAAATAAATTCCAATTTTTTTACCTTTGATTTTCTTTTAGTGAAAACTATTAATTTCTTTTCGTTACATCTGTAATTAAATTTGTACAATTTAATTATGTATCGTAATATATAATCATATCTTTTTAAGAATTGTAAATGATCGATTAAAAATTTATGTTTAATTATGATTTTCTTTTTATTATATTATATTTGATTATTATATCTATTATATCTAATGTATTTTATTATTTCCATTATATCTGTAATTAAATTTATGCAATTTAATTATGTATCGTAATATATGATCATATTTTAATTTATAAGAATTAGAAATAATCGATTAAAAATTTATATTTAGTAATTAATTAATTAATTTTCTTTTTATCATATTACATTTTATTACTATATTATATCTATTACTATATTTAATTATTTTCTTTTCAATTATTATTATTGAAGGAATGAAATTTTAATGCAATAATTCCTAGAATTCTTAGAATAATTCAAAAAAAAAATTTTTAATTTTTAATTAATATTTCATCTTAGCATACTAAGAATGAAATATTAATTAAAATTAAAAGAATAAATGGATTAATTAATGAGAATTCTTTTTTCATTCCTTTTCAATTCAGGATTTCGAAAAAAAAAAGAGTAAAATAAATAAATTAACAATTTTATCCCAATTTTCCTTTTCATCTCTTTCATTCTTCATTGACTTTCTTCGTCTGATAAATGTCCTACGAAATAAAAACTTTTATCAATGTATTAAGAAATTTCTAATCACTTATCATTTCTTCTCAAACAACATTGTTTTAATTCATTAATCAGCTTGTTGACAATAGAAAAAGAAGAGGAAATGGTTCTCTTTCGTTTTTTTTGTATATTAAAAATTTTAGGAAAGATAATTTTTTTTTTTGTTATATTAAAATTTTAGGATAAATTAGTTTAACATAACAGCATTTTATCATTTTGCAAAATTTTCGATTTTCATTTTTCAATCGTTTCATTCGGTCATTTTTGTTATTTTTCTTTCTTCCGCATTCCATTCAATTATATTTGATTTAACTGATAGAATTTTTTGCTATTTTATCACTTCTACCAAATTGCTAAGATTTTAATTAGCATAAAATTAATATTAGACTTTAATGATGATAATTGAAATTAGCAAAGCATATTTATCCATTCAATTATATTTAATTCCAAGGTCCGAGAAAATTTTGTTATTTTATCACTCTTACCAAATTGCTAAATTTATTTAGCATAAAATTAATATTAGACTTTGATGATGACAATTGAAATTAGCAAAGCATATTTATTTATTACTTAGTATTTATTACTTAAATATATTTATTACTTAGTAACAAATTTCGCATTTATTACCCTGTAATAATTGAATATTCATTCAAATAAAATTCAATTAAATTATTCATTAATAACTAATCACATATATATCATTGAATTTTATTTAAATAAATATTCAATTATATATATTAGTTAATTAGTCATATATATATATGATTCAATTAATCACTATATATATACACTATATATATATATATATACATCAGTGACTAATTGTTGTATTTTGATTGAAATTAATGAGAGATACGAGCATTTACTATCTGTCACTTATATTTATTTAAATTTTTAAATAAAAGATTTTCTTGTCTCAAAGAAAACAACAACCAAAAATTATTGGTGTAAAATAATAATTAATTCTTAAATTTATGCTAAAATCAAGAATATAGAAATTGTTAAAATTAATGGACAGAGAAAAAAAAGAACATGCGAAAAATATTCATCTCTTAAAACAAAGGAATTTTTTAATAGCATATAGTTAAATTACATTCTTAGCGTTGTAATGATATTCCGGCTTTGTGTATTTGTCAAAACAAAACGAATAGATTACACTTTTTGTTTTATAGTTTCCGATGATAAAATTAATTATAAAATGTTACGAAAAAAAAAGCTGGCAGGTAAAAACTAGTAAAAAATTTTCTGCATTAAATTATTCAAAAAATGAATAAAAGAAGTTCATGTACGGAATGCATATTATTATCGAAAATTTATCATTTAAAATTATTTCTGCTATCAATTTCCGGTAATCTGAATTTGAATATGAATTAAAAAACAAATCATCAATTTCCGGTAATCTGAATTTGAATATGAATTAAAAAACAAATTATCGATTTCCGGTAATCTGAATTTGAATATGAATTAAGAAACAAATCATCAATTTCCGGTAATCTGAATTTGAATATGAATTTAAAAACCTATTCTTTTGTAAACTAAATGAAACGGAAAAAAAGGAGAATAAAAAATTCTTTTCCGAAATTTTCAAATATTTTCAGCTATTAAATTCCGGAAATTTAAGCAGACCTGAAAAAGAAAACAAAAAGAGTTACAATTCAACGCATACATTATGATCATTAATTATGTGCTTTTTCTTATTAGCATTTCTTTGAAAAGTTTACAACAACGTTGAAATCTGGAATAACTTAATGTGATCGATCATATCTTTAATAATTTAAAATTATATAATAAGAATGATAACGAATGAATAATTCTTAAAATAAACTTACCTAATCAATGATTTATTCGTCTGAAAAGCTTGCAACAACGTTGAAATCTGGAATAACTTAATGTGATCGATCACATCTTTAATAATTTAAAATTATATAATAAGAATGATAACGACTGACTAATTCCCAAAAAGAAAAACTTGCCTAATCAATGATTTATTCATTCTTGAAAAATTACACGAAATTAGGTTTAATTGAGCATTCAAAATGATTGTAAATCATTTATGCATAAAATTACAATTAATTATTGGAAAGACATGAAATGAGTAGCTCTAAAATATATTCAAAATGATAGGATTGAGGAAAATTATACATTACATTATGTATAATTTTGTAAATTAGAAATTTGAAAAGAATTAAATTTCAAAAAATTAATATATATACTACAAAATAAAAAAAAGCCTATTTTATTTTCGATCAAAATTTTTGTCATATTTTCTGTTGTAAAATTTAAATTTGATTAGTTTTTTTCAACCATTTTTGCAGCATTTATTAACAGAAAGTTTCGTTATTATATTTCAAATGAATTTATTGATTGATTTTTGAATTATTTTATTTTATAAATTTGCATGATTTTTATTTTGAAACTATCGATGAAATATTGCTAAAAAAAAAGAGAAAGGGGAGGGAAAAAGTTGAATTATAGGATAGAATATGCTAATGTCTTCTTTTCCTTTTGTTTTGTGATAATTAAGAAATTTCAAATATAAATAAGAATAGTAATATTAGCTATATCTTTGGCTATTATTTTGATTTATAATTGCGGTCAGTGTCAAGATTGATGTTAACGGGCGGAGCGCAACTATAGGTTATCGCCTTAGGGTATTCCGGATTTTAACAGGATGATTAAGAGAGCGAAAAGGGTGTGGACATCTTAGAAAAGAGTTCTTGTTCGTTTTAGTTAGGGTGAATTGGATTTGTGTTATTACGGCCTGTGTTGTCGTTGTTGCTGTCTGTTGTTATTTGAGCAAATTGATAATTGATATTGAATTGCTATGATAACAAATCGTTATGGTAATGGTATTAGCCATAGTGCTACTCAATTAACATTACAATTGATGATAAAATTCATCGTTATACTTAAACCTACACAAGCATGTTTTGCTAGCCAATCATGTTGTCCACCAGCATCAACGGGATGTAGCCCGGCAGCACCATCATGTCCCTCACCATCAAGGTTTGCATTAAATTTTAATTATCACCACCTTTTTTTTTTTTTAAATTCACAAAATATCTTTTGTTTATTGAAAATTAGAAAATTTGCTAATTAAAATTAAATTATATTCAACAGTCCATTAGCATCAACGGGATGCAGTTCGGAAGGGGAAATGAAATTTTTACAAAAATTCAACAATTATCATGCTGGAATTCAACTAAGCATTCAACTTATCTATCGTTGGATGAGATGCATTTGAATAAGTTAACAAATGCATAAATCATTTTACCGCAAATAGTTTAGCATTTACAACAGTGATGTTAAAAAATGATGAAATTAATTGCTTGAATAAATTGAAATTGAAATTTGTATTTCGAAATGCTTTTTTAATCATTTCACTTTTTGAAATATTATTTTATTTGGAGCTTAATTAATTTGCATATGTTAAATAATTTAATTGTGGTTGTTGAAAAATTTAAGTATGTCAAACTTGCCTATTGTTTCACTTGCCGATTACTAAAATAAATATTGACCGTTTAGCAAAATTGCCTAAATATGTCCAATAGCAAAATTTAATTATAAACAATGGAATTATAATTATTATAAATAATTCATCACTTCTATCACTTCTATTTTAACTATCACAGGTAAATCTTTACAAAGTACAAGGAATTATATAGTTGATTTTAATTTAAATTGGATAATATAGTATATAATTACATTTCAATGTTCATTCTATTTTTTATTTCTGAGTAATTATAATATCGAAATTTGTATTTCAAAATTAAACTTTTCTTTTTTAAAAAAAAAATGAGGAAAGCTAAATAATTATGTAACATTAACGGTAAGGATAATTAATACTAAATAATAATTATTATAATATATTAAAATTAAATTTTCTATATTATAGTTATTCTCTTATTGTAAACTAAAATTTTTAATATTACTAAAATTATATAAATAAAAAAGGTAATTAGGTGATGAAAAAAGATGAAATAGTAATTTATAGTTGTATTTATAAAATTTATTTTTACTTTATAAATTTCATTTTAAATTTTTAATAAATTTAACAAATTTTTCTTTTCTACCTGTTTTTTCGTAATTAATTAATCTTACTGTAAATATAATATTTAATACTTTTTGTATGCATCAATATATCATCGATTTTATTAATAGTTAAAATTTATTTTCTCGAAAACTAATTACTAATATATCAATTTCATGCTAATATTTAATTAGTAATTAGTAAGTATGAATGAATTTATTGAAATAATTTGATGTATTTGTGAATACATATGAGAGAGAGAGAGAGAGAGAGATCATTTAGAATATGTATTAGTTGATCATCACATATATACAGACATATCTGTGATAAATGATAATTATAATACGGATGCATTTGATATATGTGAGAGAAATCATTTAGATATGTATTAGTTAGTTATCACACATACATACAGACATACTTGTGATAATAATAATACGGATACATTTGATAATATATGTGAGAGAAATTATTTAGACATGTATTAGTTGATTATCACATATATATGCAGACATACTTGTGATAATAATAATACGGATGCATTTGATAAAATACATGTGAGAGAGAATTTACATATATATTAGTTGATCACATATACAAACATATTTGTGATAAGTGATGATAATAATAATAACAATATGGAATAATGTTTGATATTTGTTGTGATATAATGTGCAATTAATGAATTAATAAAGAAATAATTTTATTACTATTAATAGGAAGTTCATTCATTTTCGTTATTTAACAAAACGTATAATGTATCCTTCTGTGAAGATAAAATCAATCAGCTATCATTATCACGAAACCGATCATTATATCAATATTTCAGTGATATATACATGCAATTATCTTACCGTACTTATATTGAATTTCTGCTTAACTTATTAATTAACCAACTTCTAATAAATGATATATAATTTTTTCAACAACAAATTTGATTACCTTAAGATTTATTAGATTAATTAAGACTTAAAATTATTCTTAATAAAAATATCTAATTTTTAATAACAAATATATATCAAATTTATTTTGGTTAATCTAAAAAAAAAAAAACTTTTACATTTTAAATTTTCTTCACATTTTCATGGAAGATATTTAAATTATAGCATACATTTAAATTAGTTAATTACAACTTTCATATAAACATGTTTGAAATGAATGTTGACGTATATTATTCTCACATTTCTCACGTTTCATTAATTTTATAAAAACGTGTTTATCATCTTACAATTTAAATGATAAAACAATGGCATATATTTGAAAGTGATCTACTCGTTCTCGATCAAATTTCATCTGGTTCTCTTTTTTTTTTTTTTGTTTGTTTGATTTGTAAAATTATCGTTTTAAACTTATTTCCGAAAATTAACTTCCTTAATTAACAATAAACAAAAGGAAAACATTGATAGATTTGTTAATTTATCAAAGGAAATTTTAATTATTGATAGCTTATTAGTATTTGAACATTTCTACATTTTACTCATCCATTTTACATTTTCAATCATTTCATTTTTTCTTTTCCTTTTGAAATTATATCAAAAATATCACGTATAATAATAATAATAATAAAATTATATCAAAAATATCACGTATAATAATAGTATGTAGGCGTGATAAACAAACAAAACAGAAAAAAAAAAAAAGGAAAAAATTAACTAAAGTTTCCTAAAATTTTACCACTTTAATCCATTTCATTACGATCCATTCTTTCGTTTCTTCTCGTTCTTTCTCGTCTAATCATCTTTTCTCGTTATTCTCTATATCCTTTTTTTTTTTTCATTTTCCATTCATACATACGTGCATTTTTTTAGATCATTGAAAAATGACAAATTTTCCAATATTGGATTAAATTTGTTTGTTGATTTACTTTCCTTTGAATCGCTCTCACTCTCTTTCTTGCATTCCATTCTTTCTTTTCCCTTTCAATAATTTATTTTTCTTTCTCTCTCTCTCTCTCTCTCCCTCTTCTTTCTTTACCTATTTTCTTCTCCTCTCTCTCTCTCTCTCTCTCTCTCTCACTATACCTCTTTTAAAATCGAAAAGTATTTCTGTTGTTGTTTTTTTTCAAATATAATTATTGTTTTAAAAAAAAAAAGAATATCCGTTCATAATTTTTCATCACAAAATATGAAAATGACTTTTTGATTCAAAAATTTTATTGAATTAAAATTTTTTTTTTTTTCAAATAACACAACAATGCAATTATTTTAATCGAAATCGAAATTGAAATTTGTCAAGAAATTCCGCAAATTCCATGAGATAATTTTAGGTGTAAATATATAAATACTATATATATATTTAGATATACTATATATATCGTAAATTAAATTGATCATTATTTGGTATTATATATAAATTA